AATGTCTCTCTCCACTAATCCAATGTCTACAGGTTATCTGTAAATAGATACCCCACAGACACCTAAAATTCAAAATATCCCCAAATTAAACGAATCTTTCCCCCCAAACCCACCTCATTCTTCTACATTCCTATCTCAATATCATACTATCCACGCAATTGCACAAGTCAGAAAAATGACCCCATTTTAACCTCCTCCCAAATAATCACTCAGTCTATCGACCAAACTTCCTCGGTATCTATTCAATCTGCCCGTTTTCTCATCCCATGTTAATTACCGTCATCTGGATTACTATCATGTCTCCAAAATTACTGCTCTGCACCATAAGTGGTATAAATATGGGTCTTGCCATTTTTGTGTTAATATTCTTTCAGTGACATGTCACTGCTGCCAGTTCAAAAAACAATCTCCTTATCATTTTTATCATCTAATGTCTGCCAGTTTCTTCTGTGACATCTCTCATGTTAGCAGGAATCAGATTAAATAGCTACTAAGTGTCATCCTTCCCCTTAAATTCTATATTCCAGCAGCACAAAACTCTCTACAGTTGCTGGTGTGTTTCTCTAGGCTTTTTTGTTTTTGTGACAGGTCTTGCTATCTTGCTATGTTGCCCAGGTTGGTCTTGAACTCCTGGGCTCAAGTGATCCTCCCACCTCAGCCTCCTGAGTAGCTGGGTTTACAGGCATGTGCCACTGTGCCTGGCTCTCCACTCCCTGTGAAGTCTCTCCATCCTCACTGAAGATTAAGTTATAGAGAACACTCACCCCTTGCTCCTTTCTTTACTTTCCAAAGTACTATTTATTACCCAAATTGTAATTCTTTATCTCCCCAACAGGCATGAAACCGTCTTGAGGATTGGGACTGCAGGTGGCTCTTCCTTTTATCTTCAGTTCCCAGTACTGTTTGTGGCACAGGAGTTCAATCAGTATTAGCTGAAATGAATTTTTAAAACCTTTGCACTTTAGATCTCTATGAAGCCTTGGCATCCAGTCCAACACTGTCATTTCTCAGAAGATACTAAGGCCCAGATGTGCTATCTTTCCAAAATTATAGGTCTAAACCACGTGTAGTGGTATACACCTGCAGTATCAGCTACTCGGGAGGCTGAGGTGGGAGGATCACTTGAGCCCAGGAGCTGGAGACGAACATGTGCAGCACAGTCTCAAAAAATCAAACAACGAAAGTCATAGGGCTTGGTTAGCAGAAAAGCAGAATCCAGGCCATTTTATCCTTGGTCAAGGTATCCGTGTGGTGCGTGTGATGATCAGCGTGATGAGTACTTGGAGAGGACTTGGGAGCAGTGGGATGAAAACTGAGAACAGCTTATAAATGGATTAATTCCATGCCAGGACTTGACCTCTTAGTTATACAGGAAGAAGGTTAAGATGTAATGGGGACAGTGAGAACAGGGTCTAGAAGACAGATCTAGTCTCCAAGTCAATAGTGAATCATTTAAGCTGGTCCTGGGTAGCTCAAGAGGGAAGCAAGAGAAGCCTGCAGTGGATCCTGAGAGCAACAAACAATGACAGGGACCCAAACGTGAAATGCTCATGACCGAGAGAAGGCAGTGACCCTAATCAAAGAGTTTCAGGTCAATTACAGAATTCTAACATGTGGGAACAGTAATTCTCTACCCAGGACTAAGGTTTTCTGTTTTAAAATTTGTATAACTTTAAAAGCAACAGTTCAAGTGACTGCTAGGCAGAGCTCAGGGTATAGAGTTCAACACTGTGTTGAAATACACTAAACACATCTTTTGTACAGCATACAGTTACACACTGCATAACAGCATTTCGGTCAACAATAGACGGCATACATGACAGCAGCAGTGCCCTCCTAAGACTATAATGGAGTTGAAAAATTCCTACTGCCTAGTGACACTGTAGCTGTCGTAATATCATAGTTCACATCTGTGTAAACAAACCTCCTCTGCTGCCAGTCGTAGAAAGCTGTAGCATGTACAATTACGAACAGTACATAATACTTGATAAACGACTATGTTACTGGTTTATGTATTTACTATTCTTTGTCATTATTTTACAATGTACTTGTATTTATATAAAAAAAGTTAATTGCAAAACAGCCTCAAACAGATCTTCAGGGGGGATTCCAGAAGAAGGCATTGTTACCAGAGGAAATGACAGCTCCATGCTTGTTACTGCCTCTGAAGACCTTCCAGTTAAACAGGATGTGGAGGTGAAAGACAGTGATACTGATGATCCCGACCTCATGTAGGCCTAGGCTAATGTATGTGCCTGTGATTTAAACTAATAAAAGGTTAATAAATCTAAATACAAAAAAAGCATATAGGATAAATATATAAATTAAGAAAATATTTTTGTATAGCTGTACAATGTTTTAAGCTAAGTATCATTTGAAAGGAATCAAGATATTAAGTTTACAAAGTTATAGTAAGCAAAGGTTTGAAGAAAGAAAATTAAGTTTTAAAATTTAGTGTAGCCTAAGCGTACAGTATTTACAAAGTCTATAGTAGTGTACAATAATGTCCTAGGCCTTCACATTCACGCACTACCACTCACACCCAGAGCAACTTCCAGTCCTGCAAGCTCCATTCACGGTTAAGTGCCCTATACAAATGTACCATATATGTATTTTTTTGAGACGAAGTTTCACTCTTGTTGCCCAGGCTGGAGTGCAATGGTGCGATCTCAGCTCACTGCAACCTCCACCTCCCAGGTTCTAGTGATTCTCCTGCTTCAGCCTCCCAAGTAGCTGGGATTACTGGCATGTGCCACCACTCCTGGCTAATTTTGTATTTTTAGTAGAAATGGGGTTTCTCCATGCTGGCCAGGCTGGTCTCGAACCCCCGACCTCAGGTGATTCACCTGCCTTGGCTTCCCAAAGTGCTGGGATTAGAGGCGTGAGCCATTGCACCCAGCCAAGTATACCATGTTTTTATTGTACCTTTTCTAGATATGTTTAGATAACAAATACCATTGTGTAACAGCTGCCTACAGTATTCAGTGCGGTAACATGCTGTACAGGTTTGCAGCCTAGGTGCAATCAGCTATCCCATATAGCCTAAGTGTGCAGTTGGCGGTACCGTCTTGGTTTGTGTAAGTACACACGCTCCATAATGTTCACACAATGACAAAATCGCCTGTGATACATTTCTCAGAATGTATCCCACTGTTAAATGATGCATGACTATACCAAGTACGATTTAGAAATACGCATCAGGAAAAGTACCTCTGTGTTTTAAGTGTTAAATTGTTTTGGGAGTCACTTTTGTGAAATCAGTCTGCAGCCCTTTTCCTTGGTGCTGTTGAATACTTTAAATTAGAAAGGCATACTGCCTTACCTACAAAATACATGTACAAACATACCCAAAGAAGAGATGGGCTGGGCCACTAGGAATAACTCAGAACTGGCTAGCCAAGGGTGGTACAACCTTTGCTATAATCAAGCAGCTGGGAAACCAGGAGGCTGTGGTTGCAGCTGTTACCTCCAGGGCCAGGAAATACCTCCCTCCTTTCATACTCTGCGTCTCTAAAGCCTCAGCTCTATTCCGAATTCAAGTCTCCCATCAATGCATCTGACTGGCATCTAAGTCTCATTGGAAATTAGTCCAGAAAGTGAATTTTAGTTTTTTAGTCTTTGCTGTAAGGGAGGACACAGTAAGAGGACTGTGGAACAATGAGGAGCCAGCAATTGACTGCGTCATCCACCAGGTGTGCCAGGCGCCAAGGCTGTGTGCTCATGGGAGAGTGGTCCTGAGGGGAAACAGCTTTCTAGAGGAAATGGTATCTAAACTGGAAGTGAACCAGGTGATTTTACTAAAATCTGTTACCCAAGGGAGAGGCTCATTAACACTCTGCAGAGAAATCACAGTGGGCAGCAGTACAATGCCATCTACCTGCAGAAGAACAGACTAATCTGGAGAGGAAATTTGCCTACCAGCTGAGCCAGGGCAACATCAGATGAAAAAGGTGAAGGAGCAGTATGAAGAACCAACAGAAGAAATCACAATAGAAAATTAAGCTGTAGCTCACAGACCTTACTGGGGGAAAAAAAAAAAAAAAAAAAAAAAAAGGTGGTGGTGGGGGGGGAGAATCCAAAACAAATCCAGGCTTAGCCCAGGCTGTAGGAAGCAAGCCTGCCACAGGTGCCCTGAGGGAAAGGAACTGAGCAACCCAAATACCAGCCCCTAGTTCTGAGACAGCTTTAGATTTGAAAAGACAGGACACAGAGGAAACCAATGAGACTCAAGGTGTCAGCTAGAAGCCTCTGGGGTTTACCTCAGAAGCCAGGCTGAGAGCAAAGACAAAATGTGTGAGGAAGAGGTGCTGGGGAGGGGGAAGGACTTGCCCAAACCCTGAACGTCTCAGCTACCCCACTGGCAAGTCAGGAAAATTCAGAGGCTGAGAGGACCCTGAGTGGGACCAGCGTGTCATCAGTGAGGGTGAGGAAGGACAGGATGCTGAAGATGAAGGGAGAAACCAGCAAAGCCAAGGGATGACTACAGCGTGGTTGAAAATGAGGCAGAATCCAAAACAAAGAGGCAACCCCTGCAGAATAAGGAAAATCTAAATATCCTTAGTGCTGAAGATCAAAAGACAACGTAAGTTTACTTGACAAGTCAGAAATGCAGAACCAGCTGGATATGGTGGCTGACGCCTGTAATCCCAGAACTTTGGGAGGCTGAGGTAGGCAGTTCACTTGAGGCCAGGAGTTTGAGACCAGTCTGGCCAACATGACAAAACTCTGTCTCTACTAAAAATACAAAAATTAGCCGGGTGTGGTGGTGCACACCCGTCATCCCAGCTACTGGGAAGGCTGAGGCATGAGAATCACTTGAACCTGGGAGGCGGAGTTAACAGTGAGCCGAGATTGCACCACTGCATTCCAGCCTGGGCAACAGCGAGATTCCCTCTCAACACAAAAACAGCTGAATCATACATTTCAGGTCAGGTCTGCACAGAGATTACAACAAAATATTTATGTGGAATTGAATACTTCAAAACTGTGAAAAGAACTATGTAAAACAGATGTCTCTAAACATTTTTAAAGTACCCAAAGGAGTAAAGAAACTGATTTTTAAAAACTTGTTTATCCCAGCAAGTGGCTCATTGACTATTAGGCCAATGGGAATGCCACCATCAACAACAGTCGTGCCAAACTCTCCTTACCCCTGAGGTTCATCTGATGAGCTGGTGTCCCACTGGATTCTTCTTTGCTCTTATAGCAAGAAATGGATGTGTCTTTGAAGGTGCACCAATACTGCTTGTAACCTTTCAGAGTCAGCTTTTTTGGCCTATGTATCAAATAGAATTAACAAAAAAATTACTTTGAACTAACTTTATTAGCAAATTTCACAATATTAAGTCTGGGGTCAAGTTTTAAATGTGCTGAAATTGATCCCCCTTGGTCAGTGTCTTCTAGTGTGACTAGTCTAGTAACAGCTGTTACTGGATGTGCAGCTCCCTTCTCAATCTACTGTAGAAGATCAAACAGTGAGCATGCAGAAGAGAGGCAGTAGGGCCTGCCTTCCAGTACTCTGCAGCTGTAGCCATCTCCTCTCTCACTAACTAGCAGGCCACATGGAAAGAGTAGGAAAAGAAAGCTGAAGTAAATGTCAATAACTGGAAGATTCCTAGATCCTGTAATTACCTGCAGGTATAGGGTGTCTGCAAAGCTGCCTTGGAGCCTCTATAAAGATGCAAGTTGACCTGGCAGGACCGAGGGGAAGTGCTTCTTTCTCTGGGGTAAATTCCAATGGTGACATTAACTTGCCACTCCAATGTGAACACAGAAGGAAGATGACACAGCAGTCATGAGGGTGTGTAAGGAAAGGTGCAGGTAAATGAGAAAGTTGTGTCAAAGGACAAGGAGAAACGGTTAAGGCAGTGGCATCTGAAATCATGCCCTTGTCTCAGAAATGTTCCATATTTTGAACCGTTGTTATGTTCAACTACGGTAAACGGTTTATTCTAGAGTAGTTTTATATGTTTATGTTATATAGTAGAAAACAGTACATTACACCTCCTTTCCTTTTTCTCCTCTCTACCTTAATGCCAACCTCTCTTGATTCTGTGGAATATAGCTGGAAAGAGTGTTTAAAAATCTAGATCAGATATACTAGAACTTTACATAAAATGTTCCATGAACAGAGTTCAGTAGAATCTTAAGCCCTGAACGGGGAAATAACGCGGGCAGTCACACAGTTCACTATGTACTGCTTCCAACTGAGGCCCAGCGGGCGGGGCTGTGCCACTGTACTGCTGTGTTTCAGCATCTCTATGATGCAATCTAGGTTTCACAATCTTTTTTGTTTTTCTTTTTTAAAGGAAAATGTTTATCTGGTAAAAAAATGAGCATTGTGATTTTAATTTGGTAAAAGTGGTTATTTTCTCTCACGGTATTTGGTGTTCATCTAACTGGTAAATCCTTTTACAGTTAATAAGGATGCGTCTGTTAGTCAAACTTAAAGTTAGTTTCAATAATGTGACTATGACTATAAAACTGACAGTCATTAAGATCTGGAATCCCTCCTCTTTTTATACTTACTTGAAAACTTTAATATAGTCAGCAAGTTCAGGAATGGAAGTAATGTCACCCTAAAAGAGAGTTAAATCCTTTTTTAATTTTTTTGAAATTTGAAATTCTAATGTTTGGCATCTGATACCGAGAACTGGGTTACTTAATAAACAGAATGACATAAAACACAGATTATAAAGATTTAAACAACACAGTCACATTACATAGTCTTGTGGACAGTATTCTTCTTGGCATTTTCTTTTTCTTTTTTTTTTTTTTTTTTTTTTTTTTTTTTTTTTGGGTTTTTT